AAAACTCCTTTAGAATTATGTCAACACAAGACACCAGGAGGCTTACCTCTAAGCAACATGGAGGAGATGAGCTACACACAAAATACAAATTAATCTTTAACGCAACAGCACCTGAGGCAAAGCTAGACAGGGAGAGCGATGGTAAGGAATGTGTGTGTGTGCTGATGTCTCTGTATATGTGTGGACTTGTGTTTGTCTGGCAGAAACCCCAGGTTATGTAAGCCGGTGGGAGTGAGGTGCCTGGTGGTATCTATGGAAACGATGACAGCGAGGGAAGATGGATAGTTCACCAGCAGGGATAAGGGTTCACTAGCAGGGAGCGTGGGAGGTCAAGTACAGTTTCTGCTTCTTTCCCACATGCAGGCGGAGCTCGGTTACATCTTTACAGCAAAGGATCTGATCGGTTAGTACAAGTCAGCAAGAGAGCAATGGAGCTACGATACAGGGAGGTGTCACTGGGTAATAATGGAGCCTTTTTGTAGAGAACAATGCACTTGAACTGTGAAACAAACAACAAAACATATACCATTTAACCACACTGCCTTTGAGCCAAAGATGACCAAAATAACACTTCTGCCCTCTTTCCCCCTTTCTCGCACCTCTCTACCTTTAGCTCATCACTGAAGATGTAGACAAATGTAAAATATATGTAAATCACAGTATTATGTATTACGACCCCTGATTAGACGTTGGACGAGTCGTTCTTTGGTTCTTGCACAAAGAAGTTTATTCACACATAGGTGAGTTTTTTTATAAACCAATAACACATCAATCTTAGGAATCACATCTGATAAGATTAATCTTTGTTACCTAACGAAGTTGGCAAGGAATGTGTGAAACTGTGCAGCAGGATATATTTCACTGTCTGATGCTTGGACTGTACAAAGAGAAATGTTCGGATTTACTCTTAGTAAATCCTTTGTGTGAGATGCTCTATGAATACAGCAAAGGGAGATCAACCATTAATATACATTTGCATTGCAAAAAACAAAATTTTTAAGAATCAGGAAAGACACAGTGTGGTGATTGCTATAAAATCTTTTTTTCTCTTTGTTTTTTTAAGGTCTTGACATTACATCAACATGTAGAGTGATGATTAATCCACTTGATGTCCCTTGAGATGAATTGCATTATTTATTTTATTTTTCTTTCTTTTCAGGATATATTGTCATGGTGCTAAAATATAGATGAATAAGTTCAAGTGGTGCAGTGAACATATTATACTAGCTATGGACAGTGTAGTGGCATCAGACATTAGAAAACCCTGATTCCTTACATTTGCATTATGAAGCTCTGCTGAAATTGTGCTGTAGTTAATAGTATCCTAATGTAAAATACAATAAAATAATTGGGCTGAGTGGGGCTTTGTAAATCTATGACAGAAATGTGGGAGTGGGGGAAACGCCACAGCAGCACAATGATGTGACAGGCCGTGTGTCTGTGTGTGTTACTTGTAGCGTAAGTCCAGACACAGAACAATGGCGTTAACTGGGTCGCCGACTGGCTGTGCCAAACAGCTGGAGAGATGGATAAGGAGGGTGACTGAGTCAAAAGGAAAGAGGGCAGGGTGGGTGAGGAAATTAAGGAATGGGCCAAAAGTAGGAGCATGAACAAACCAGGCAGGAAAAAGTAGAAAATGTAAGCAGGTGTGATCATCCTGTTATCGACCAATTAACTTCAGAGAAATACGTTAAAAATAGTCAAAACCAAAAAATACACAAGGAATGAAGGCAGCAACAGTATAGTGGAGCTGCCTGCTGTCTGCCTGTATATGAATAATACATGGTCAAACTCTGGCTTTCTCTCACAAAATATTCAGACTGACTCTGAGAATCTCAGCTGCAGAATAATAGAAGTGCACAGCTACTCAGGCGAGATGATGCGCGCCACTGGACCATGACCAGTTCAAGTCTCTCAATTTAAAGGCTGTGTGTTCATTCTCCGACCCATAAGAACGGTTCAATCAGCAGCACAATAATATGTAATCATCTTCACAATGAGGAAATACCGGGTGTTCCAAAGGCTCAGACACAGGCGACGAGCCCGCCAAAGCTACATGACAATCAGATTCAGACTGTATCGATCCCAGGGAGGGCATCACACGTACAACACCCAATATGATGTGTGTCAAAAAGCACAGGTCAACAAACAAACAGAGGTCGGTGAAGGACATCAAGATAAAGACTGAGGAGGGAGAATAAACAGCAATAAAAAGACAATAATAGATTTAGATACAGTCACTAAAAGATGTCACTTACTACTGTCTGAGTTTAGCAGCCTGGTAGTAGCAGAATGAATGAATGTTATATATATAATATAAGTTGTTTTTCACCACTAATAAGAGAACTCGGTCAGTGGTTCTGCTGTTGACCAGGCTGGTGTTTCATCACACACAACCGCCACCTAGCATGTTAGCTGAGAGTGTAGCGTGCTATCTTTCCCCGCCATCCCCACCCGTGTATTTACTATCACCGTGGACGTAAACACTGTTGCTGCCTCGCCGCGCCATTGTTCTCTGCGTGTCCGCTGCCGAGGAAACGAGGAAGCGTGTTCAGCGCAGCCGGTATTTTCTCCACATTTGACGTGTTCATGGATGGATGCTAACTCAGAAGCTAACGAGCTAGTCGACCACCCCCCCCAGTCGGTGGCAGTTAACCGATGGTGAGGGGAAGACGTCGCTTTGTCGTCGGTTAAAACGACACCGGACGCGCCGCTAACGTGACAGGGAATCGAACGGTACCTTTTGTGCGAGGCCCTCGGCGGCTACAGGAGCACTCCCACCCTCCGCTGGCTCTTTGTCGGTGAGATGCTGCGGCTGGTTTCCATCAGTCCGTCTCCTCTCCGTCTCTCTCCCGGCTGACAGCGACACCGCTCCGGGATGACAGCGCCCCGCCCCTAGCAACCAATCGCACGCCGAGGCGCCCGAGACGGAGGCAGGAGACGCTCCTCATTGGTCCGGCGCGGTGTCCGTCGACGTGTCGCTAGGGGCGCAGCCGTGGACCAGGGGGGAGGGACACCTGTCAGGGAGGGATGCTGAGGGGAGAGAGGGATGAGAGGGATGAGAGGAGAACAAGTGAAGAGAAAGACGAATGATAATAAAGCGACATGTGCCATCTCTCAGAGAGACGCTGTGTCTGCTCCACTTGTTTCTGCAGATTGGATTCAGTCTGTGAATGATTCATGCTGTGAAGCTTCCCCCACTACAGTTGTCTATAAGGTTGAGGAGGTGTCCTTCAAAATAATAACAAAACAAAACCAACTAAATAATAATAGTAACTTTATTTATTTCTATAGCACTTATCTAAACAAAGTGCTTCGCAAAATCCATGGCAAAAAATGAATCAACTAAAATAAAAGAGATTCAATTCAGTTAAATTTTTTGCACTGAATCACATATTAATCCATTAAAAAAATCCAATACAATTAAAGTAAATGGTGACAACAATAAATAACAAAAAAACTGAAAAAATGCCTCCATACTGCTCCTGTGGTGTCATCCAAGTGTCCTAAGGCCCCGACATTCAAAATCAGTTTACCCCTGAAACTCCAAAAGTGTTTTGTAGCAGGAAGAGTTATATATTTGAGCTCAGTCAGACCTATTTATTATATACTGACAACAATTTTCTTCACTTGGCATCGTCAGCTGTTTCGGTCTTTTAATCGCAATAATGTTCAAGGGTACGCTGAAGCTAAAGGTAAATCTCATCCATAAATATTACTGTTCCAATCACTCTATGCAGGAATTAAAAAGAGGCAAACACAAACTGCTCCTTCTGTGACGAGACAGTTCCTCGTCTGCTCTTGCGCCAAAAAGCTCTGGAAAGACATTTGCAGCTTTGTCATCGATTGTATTCTGAAAGAAATTAATTTACTTGTGTGAAATGGGTATTTGGTTTCATCGGAAAAAAAGCTGCTTTGGTGCTTTTTGAAAGGATGTGGAGCCAAAACATTCTAACACAGAACATTTGCTGTTAAAGTTCACTTCTATTTGTTGCTCTTCTTGTTGCTGGAAATAGCTCAATGTGTCTCTGTGTGTTTTGGGTCGTTGTCGTGCTCCAGAATGAATCACGCCTCCCCGATGGTGCATCTACAGATCCTAAAAAAAGAGGCTTTAATGGAAGGGCAAAATACTTTAAGTGTTTTTCCTCGTCTTTGTTTTATTGTTTCAGACAAAGAGCCGTCTCTGTGGGGAAAACAATTAACACATAATTCACAAATCTGACTCCAACAAACACAGTGATGTACAGAACATACACTGACAGAGACAGACTCCTGTACCAAATATTATACAACAAAAAATCTGCACAGCGTAATAGGAAATGATTTATCAGAGGGGTTCCACTACTCGGTGTCCGTGGCAATACAATCGCACAATGGTTCAACTGTATATAAAAATGTCATTGTCCTTGACTTGTTGCTCGTTAAACATTATCCAGTTGTTGATTATTGTAATTTAATTAAAGTAATTGTTGCTAAAACAAAGCAATACTGTCTTCTACACAGTATATAAAAGTATAAAAAAGTATAAATAAATACATGAACCAAGTAGAACAGTCCAGGCGACGTCTGACAAACACAGTAACAACAAAACTGAACTGAACACTTTCCTCATGTGTGGAATTAAACACGATTCAACCAGATATTTGAATCCGGTTCAGGTCTGAACAAATAAAAACAGCTTGACTTATCAGTGTCAAAATGCTGCAGATTCATAGTCAGAGCACATAATGTACATGTAGACGGAGAGTTAATAGTAAACAAAATTGCACGAAAATGTGATAATGCACATTATATGAGAACATAGAAAATATAGTAAAAAGGGAAAATTGCTGCTGCTGCAAATACTGATGCAAATCTTTCTCCCACTGACTGGTTTCAATCATACTTGAATTGTCTCGCAAATTTTTTCATGGTAATTAAAAGGATCACATTTAACTTCAATGAAAATCTGTTAAAAATTGAACTTTGACTTTGACTTTTTTTGCATTTATTGTTGCAGGTTAACTCTGCTACCACATTTCTGTGTCAAGGAGGCTGAAGTAAAGTCACATTTAGAATAAAACAAAAATAAAAAAGCTAATCACACCAGTAAACCCAACAACCGATAGAGCAAGAAAAACGACCAGAATGAGAAGAAAACATGAGCAAACACAGAGAATAGAAATAAGAGGAAGCAGAGTGCTTGATATATGTGTGAATGAATGTCTGATGATAAACTTAATTGTGTTATTAATTTGAATTTAAATAGTGTCATGAAAGATGAGAGATTAAAATGAAAAGTTGGCTTTGCATTCTAACAGTTTGATTATATTTTACAAAATGCAAGCTGTATTTTTGCGTTTCAAACAATATGATAATCTTAGTTTTTGCATACATTCACTGAAACTGCTGGTTTTGTTCTGCCAACATTATAACTTCATAAACATCAGACTGCGGCAAGTTTTATTTTTTTTTGCAATCCAAGAATCCTTCTTTGATTTTGTAGAGACTGAAGCTATTGATCCTTGAACTCGTTTTCGGTATCTGTGACTCTGCGGTCACCCTTCATACAAAACATGTCTGTGAGACAACAGAGTCTCAGCTGCTTTGTTTCACAGCTCCCTCTCCTGCTCTGGAGTCACGAACATCTGAGGGATTGTTCCAGAAAAGTACTTCTCTTGCTTGACGTTTAGTCTGAACATCCTCATGGTGGCACTGAGAGCTGCAGTATACAGTTCCCTGGTATTTATTCTTCCATCCACATCCTCTTCTTTGTTATTCCTTTACAGAACAGTTACCCTGAACCATTTCAGCTGTGGGGCAACATGAGCATGAAAGCATGGGAGTGACTGTAGCTCAAGTGGCACAAAGGGGCAACCACCTATTGTAGGGTTGTTGGTTTGATGTCTGGCTCTTTCCCATCCCGTTCTCCTGTGCCTCGGAGCAAGGCACTGGGCCCTTAAGTCTCTGTGTGTGTATAGGACAGAAAAAAAGCTGAACTGCTTTGGACAAAAGTGTCAAATTGTTGACATCTTAACACATGTCAAGAGCATAAAGACACAGCTCAGCGCTCGTTAATCTGGTTCCACTTACATGCAGGAGCCTGAATATTTAACATTTATAGTCCCCTGACTATTAGTTTACATAATACCAGGAGAGTTCCTGCCTCTCTCAGGCGTAGCGAGGGTCTGCGACAGTCAGCGACACCCGCTGGAGGTAGGCCGGCTGCTGGTAGCACGTTGCCCGCGCCGTCTCCATGAAGATTGTGGAGGATGTGAGGCTTTTGCGGTCTTTTTTCAAGAGGTGTCTCCTCTGCCAGCGACAGAGTAAGAGTTCCACCTGTTCTCTGAAGAAGCTGGTGGTCAGGGTGTAAAGGATGGGGTTCAAGGCGCTGTTGATGGGGAGGATGAAGATGACAACCCAGCTGGAGATGGTTCCTGAAGGAGAAGAAGAGAAAAGCAGTGTAGATTTAAATGAATGAAGGTGGGGGTGATGTGATTAATGATGTATATAAAAACAATAGCTGCACAATGTTAACAATGTTAATGTGCCCTGTAAAACCCAAAGCAATTTCAGTGCTTACCGGGTATCTCCACCTTCAACAGTGAGAGGATTTTCACCAAAAATATGGGGATCCAGCAGAGGGCGTCGGAGAACACGATGAAGAAAAACCTGTTGGCCACAGCCACGTCCCTGTGCAGCCTGCTCCTCAGGTCTGTGGCATTGATGCCAGTTTTATAGATGGAGAAGAACATGCTGGAGTAGGAGAAGACGATCACCAGGAACGCCACCACGTTCAGACCTAAAGAAACGCACATGCTATTCACACACTTGAAGTAGAAGTTCATAAAGGTATGAATATATTTGATGTAACAGTCCTGCATTGCTTGACTAAAAGTAGTAAAATCAGCAAAATGTACTTGAATAGTGTCAAAAATAGAATTGGCCCCTTTCCTCTGATATATTATTGATATATTGTTTTGGGGGTTTTACATCATCACCTGTTGTTGGCCTTGCACCAAATCATCTGCAGGTTACTCACAGGTCACACCTCGTAACAAGGCGTGGCTGTCAGCAGCAACACATTGTGGAACTCATTCACAATTGACAGACGTCTTAAAACCTTTCTATTTGTCAAAACTTTGAAAAATGACGTTTATTCTGACTAATCCATTTATGTATTTTATGATCTATTATGATTTATTGTTCTATTTGCTCAGCTCATAATGTTTTTATTATTCTAATCTTATCTGCCTGTCAGGTGTTATTTCTTGTGGTATAGAAAAGTGCTATGTCAATCAAGTTAAGTATTAAGTTTATTAAAAGGTGCCATGGTCAAAGCTGTCAAACAAATGTCAATGTAAATACCAGGAATTAAAAGCTGAAATTTGAAACTTGTGTACATTACAGAATTTTTCATGAAGATACACAGACTAACCCCTGACTTTAGTGACGGGCAACAACAAGTGGCGCCACCTCAAATGAATTCACGTTGTTCTTATTCAAACTGCCAAGTGATACTGGCACCTTTCAAGAGAGAATATCCCCGAGATTCATTCATCCCTGTTGCCAGATTTCCACATGGTTCCGCAGTGAGAACACTGAGTAACAGGAACCAAGACTTATCATGAAATGTTCATGGAGCCATGGTGTTTGATGTGTAATAGCCCCATCTAAGGTGCAATGCTATCCCATGTTCTGGTGGTGGGTTGGTACACTGAGTACAACACCACTTTAAATGGGATTTCAAGAAAAATAAAGCAGCCCACTGTGAAAAACAAAAAGTTCTCAGCTTACTATGATTTTAAACACTTTAATGGGTGAGTAAAAGTTTAATCAGGGTCTACAGAGCAATTCTGCTGGTGTCTGCATGCAGATCATAAATAGTTTTATTTATCAGGTATCATACAAAGCAAAGTAAACTGAAATAAATGGATAAATATTCTCATCATCTGCTGCAGGGCTCCTTTTTTATTTTGTCCTTCAACATTTGTCTTTATGAATGCATGTTTATGTTTGGGTCATTCTCATTCATTATTTTTTTTCCAACAGTATTGAATTATTAAGTGAGTGCTTCAGTTTACCTCCAGTGCAAATAAACAAAAAAAGCTGCTACCAGCTTTATAATTAATTATTAAAAATTATATTCATTTAAAACTGAGCTTTGGGGGAGGGGGGGGGAAACAACACATTTTTCATAAATTTACCCAGAAAAATCCCTGTGGAATATCCTTTGGCAGTAGGTTTTTCTTGCCTGTCAGAGTGCAGGGGGAAGCAGACTCCATTACGTCCATAATAGTTTCCAAACACATCCTCATTCATTAAGGGCACTGCAGCAATAATGAAGCCCAGTAGCCAGATAGAAGCCAACACCACCTAGCAGCGGGAAGACAAACATGCTGTTAGTTTCTGACATGGTGCTCTTCAAAGCCCACTTTAAAAAATGATTAAAGTTAACTGGCAACTCATTGAATTTCCACACTTTCACTGACAGTTAATTAAGGAGAGCCTGTTGACTGACGAGCCATCTCAGCCTCTGGACTCTGAGGAAGCCAACAGTAGGGGGCAGAGTTCTCTCACAGAGCAGACTTATCAGGCAGATGGGTGCAGAGTATTGAAAGTAAACATTTGGCACAATGTTATATGTTAACATATTTTTTTTTCATTGAGGCTGAAGGGTCATAAATTAACAGCGATTTGGGTGAGAAGCTTCATTAATCTTTGGGTCTCAATCTTGATTCAAAAACATTGCTTATTATGTACTGACAACATGTTATGTATATGTTCTGTTTACATTGTTTATTTTATTTCTGTTTTTTTCATGTGTTTATATTGCATGTTTACTTATGTGTTACTTTTTTCTAATGTTCATAATGCACTTATCTATAAATAAAGCTGGTGTTTCACAGCCTCTCTGACCCAGAGCTGAAACACTGCACCTCCACATATTAAACAGCTTTGCTTGTAATTAGGATCTGCTCTGCCAGAGCAGATCCTAATTACAAGCTGCTCAAGAGAATCTGAGGATTCACTGTGAATCAGACTGCATATAATTTGTCTATTTCTACACACTATACAGCTATAGCTGCAGTCCACCCACTTTATACTACGTCCATTGAAGCAGAAAACTAACCATAATAATGCCACAATAGCGCAATCATTTCGAAGAAGAAATACTCCAGCAGAACAAATCCAATATTTTCATATTATTAAGATGTATGATTATTTTTACACAGCCCACACCATAAGAGTGCAATAAACTCTGGTGCAGTTTCTTTAGAAATTTCTCATATAAAAATAGCAAAACTTAAAAAGAATTCAATCTAGTTAATGTGAAATTTCCAGTGTGTGTAGAGCAGCTCACCCCAGTCTGAAGTTTGCCCGGGCGCAGATTGCTGAAGGGGAAGACGATAACCAGGAACTTTTCCAGCGTCAGATAGGTTAGGAGCAGAACAGACACCTGAGAGAAAACATTACAAACTTTTAGATTAGATTTATTTCCCTCCACATAGACACTGTCTTGTGCTCATTATGAGGCTTGAGACATGTTTCTGATAACATCTGTCTTATTACCATCACATCTCCAATTAATAATGCAGCCTCGAGCAAGGAATAAAAAAACGAGAAAACTCCTCCTTGTTGGTGCATTCAGGGGCTTTTTCTAAAGCCAATTAAGACTTTAATCTCTTCATTGTTTATTTCCTTTCTTCTCTGATGCTGAAATTAATTAAACATGATTTATATTCAATATAAGGCAAAATATAAACAAAACAATTGCAATGTCCATTAATCATATCTCAATAACACTTGTTAAATTCACAAGATGCTGTAAATGAGTGCAAACCTTTTTGGGGGTTTGATTTGTTAACGATGTGCTAACAGCTCAGGTAATAGATCCATAGAGATGTCACACTTAAAGTTACATGTACGTACAAATGAGCCCAACTGTTCCACGCAGTGAGGTTTAGTTGAATCTCTGTCTCAAAATCGATGACTGAATTCTTCGAGATGCCACTTTAAGACTACATGAATGTGTCAGATAGTATGAACTGCAGTGACTTCATACACTACTGTCTCCAGGCCTGTGTGTGTATGTGTGGTAGGGAGTGGGATGTTACTCCACATTAAGTTACCTCTGAGGAAAGCATGGCCAGAAATCCAATGGTGCGACACTCTACGCTCTCCATCCAAAGCAGAGCGTTCCGATTGTACTGCCCGCGAAATTTCACATCGAACACTCCGACAAAGAACAAGTACACACCCATGAGGCAGTCTGCACCTGCACGAAGAGAGACAGTGACATGAGTCCATTTACAGAGAGAGGTGCTCAATGTGGGTTTTACTGGTGAACTGTCAGGTGCTGGCTCTTCCTGCAGCCAGACTCCATAATTCTCTTATTAAAATGCATGAATATGAGTGTTTTCGCCAGCATGGGACACACATGTGGTGTATGACTCAATGTCAGCGTGTGTGTGTGTGTGTGTGTGTGTGTGTTCGTGCATGTGCGTGCGTGTGTGTGTGTGTAGCAGTGGGTGGGCGAGAAAGTTGATGAGTCGTTAAGTTAATTTAAGACTTAAGGAAGCCACAATGACTTAATTTTACAGAGATCTAAAGATAGGGTTAAGGATAATAGAACAAAAGCTCTTTCTTTAGGCCTACAGTCTAGGGATAAAACATAGATTTAGTTCTTTTTTCATTCTAGTTTAAAAAGATACGTCCCGCTTCAAAATGTGAGAGAGCAGAGCAGAGGGGAGTGAAGCCTGGACGATGAATAAAACCCAGGGCAGGAGGAGGAGTGATAAGTATAAGCGTGACCAGAGAACTGATGGAGAATACAATGAGACGCAGTGGAGAGGAACCAAATGGTGAATGTCGAGGGAGAGAGAGTATGAAAAAGGGTATATGGATTTCACTTTTTTGTAATTTTTTTGTGGAAAAGCCTTTTTATATCCACTTCTGGTCAATAGCTTCTTTGATTTTTAAAATTCACCCTCGGTGCTATTTGAAATTGTTGTACCTTTAATCACTTTCAAACACCTCCACCCTAACCTGCAGTTGCTACATGTATCAAACTGAATATTTCTCCATATGTAAATAATATCAGCATTATTTTCTGTGGTGTGTAGTAGTGTGTCGTTACTCACAGCACAGGACTTTGATGCACGCAGCATGCAGATTGTTCTCAGCTCGTATCAGTGACCTCATGCCGATGACCAAGAGGTTACCAAAGCACGTGATGAAGGCCATGACCCACACAGACACCCGCAGCACGATGTTGGCCAGCAGGTCCTCAAAAGATGATATGCCGTCTGTGTTGGGCTTACAGGACCTGACATGAGGGGCATACGAGCAGTACTGGAACTTCTGGAAGTATCTGGCAGAGGTAGATTTAAAAAAGAATAGAGCAAGAATTAGAAATGAAACAAAGATGCATAGAGGAGATAAATAGATAAAGACACATGATGTTTAATTATTCTGTGACGTGTGGGGATTGTGATACTTGTGTAGGGTCATACGAACATGTGGGACAGGTTCTTCATGGGCAGAAACATCTTAGTCTGAATATCTGGGATCTCTATCCCTTCCAGCGCCCTATAGAGAGCAGAGTACATGTCTATCCCTGCACAGGCTGCAGCAAGAAGTGTGTGTGCATGCGTGTGTATTTGCGTGTGTGTGTGTACTCACAAAGACTGAAGTTGTGCCAAATGGCTAAAATGACTGGGGTGAATGCAAAGAAGAGGATTGTGGGAGATATTTCTGCAAAGAGAAACACACAGAGATAAACTCAGTGGAGCTTGTCGGGATAAAATGTCAAATGCGGCCAAATGTCAGTAAAATCCAGTGTTTGTTTTTGGTTAATTAGAAAATTGGAGGGTGATTTGTATTCAGTCCTTAATCACCCTGGGTGCAAATTGCATCATGTACTTATTCTGTGCTTCACAGCTCCATGCTCAGTGCACAAACACTGTGCATAACGTTTAACAGAGGAATCTAACCACCGATATACAGTGAATGGTTACTTGGCTGGCATTGCTGTTAGCCTCTAGTTATTTTTTGTTTTGTTACTCCCTGATGATCTGTTATGTTTCCTGCCATAGTTCCCCGTCCCTCTCATGTGTTGTTTGTTGTGTGTGGCTGTTTGGGTTTTGCTTCCTGGTTTCTTTTTTCCCCTCCAATTCACCCCCATACACCCTCTGTGCTTCTCTTTCTGGTATGCTGACATTTTGTTTGTTAGCTTTTTTTGGAACCACATGACTCTTCTTCCTGCCACTGTGCAGATGAGAAGCCCAAAAAATGGGAACTGCCCTCTTGTAGTATTGACCTGATGGTGGTGTGGTCCCTTCGATTCACCTGCCTGACCAACACTATCTGGATGTTCTTTTACTTTTTTGTTGGGCCCATTTTTACGTCTCCTTTGGCACATCACTGACTTTCTTAAAATGTAGGTAATGACACTGAAAACACTGCAAAAGTCACTGTATCAAGGATGTAACACTCAAAAGAAAATTACGTATTTTTTCTAGCCTATATACTGTGGCCCTCGACTCCATCAATTTATCTTCTTGACTTGTCTTTTTACTTTTTGACTCATTCCTTTTCTTAATCACAATTTAATACCCCCTGCCTTATATTGTCTATGCTCTGAAAAAAATCGGTCTTATCATCAAGTGAGAGCGTAGTGTCTGTGCCTTCATTATCATGTAGCTCACGTTCTGGATGGCAGGAGATAAGCCCAGGTTTGTTACGCTGGATTTGGCTCAGAGTGTTGTTAGACTCAACTCACTCGATTTTTAGTAAAGCCACGGAAGAAGGACAAGGACGGACAAAGTATTTGTTTTTTGTTTTTTTACAAACCAGGCTTCAGTTAACAGCCTTTTGTTAGGGTTACATCACACCATCACACCATCACACCAGTAGCAAGTAATCGTTGAGTTATTGTATGTATATATAAATACATATATATATGTATACATACAGTAACACTTAGTGATGTTTTCACTGGTGTGTTTCATCTAAATTGTATGAATTGTTGTTTTCTGTACCATAGACTGTACCTTTATATTTAAAAACTGTATATTTACATGGAGGGGGGGTCCTCTCTGTGGAGGCCGCCATGTTTTCTATTGTCGTCCAAACTGGACAAACTAAAACCTTTTGAGTTTTCATGACAACTGAAGTTCACCACAGGTTCTCCTTCATGTTGGGAATGGGAGAGTGAGATGAGGAGTACTCAGCTGCAACATGAAACTTCACCTCTAGATGTCACTAAATTCTACACACTGAACCTTTAAGAGCTTGACACTTATGGCAAGAGAGAGAAACTGATTCAGGGCAACATACTGACTTTAAAAAAGTGACATGCTTGGCTATTAAAAACATATACAGACTACAATAGCACTCGGTAGACTGCATACCACCACCAAGGCCCAACAGTCCCCTTAAATTCAATCAAGCCACAACAGAAGATCGGTATCAGTCCAATAAATATGTGTGTGCATGTGTGTAGGGCAGTTACATGCTGATGTGAATTTTACTGCGCTGCGTGTGGGTATTTTAACATTGTCATGCTGTATTAAATTTCAAATAAGTGGAAGAATGTGGCAAAGCTGCTGAATTCATGAAATGAGAGAAGATGAGAACAAATATTCATGAACATATGGCTCCTGTATCTAGTGTTGGAACACTGGAGTAAATAATGAGGAAGCTCTCCACATTTGAGTAATCTGTTTACAGTATGTCTTTCTGAAAAATTTGGACCATGTGTTCAGTTAAAGTGATAAAATGTGTTACTGTCCTGTGAAGAGCTGCCCAGATTGATGTCACGTCACCAGCGTGAAACTTTAGAGTCGGTTGAAACAGACAGTGGTAATCTGTCAAGTTGGTTCAAAGTGATTTCAGAAAGTTAAAGCCAGGGAGTTACGTCTTGTGACAAACAATATCACTCTGTTTACTGTTTTTTTTAGATGCAGTAATTTGTTTTCTTATCATTCACGCCCACCACTAATGAAATGGTTGGAGCCCATTAACTTTATAATAGCATTATTCATGAGGTGGTACTCGGCCTGGCAGCTTTGTTGGTCCTGCTCCCCAGCTGTGAAGGAACAGTGCAGAAATGTGGATATTTGAACACATTTCAATAAGAAAGAAAAACATTGACAGGAGATTGAAATGTTTTTGAAATCTTCGACCATGTTGTCCCGAACATGGTTTTAAAAAATGTTTGCACATCATGAAGAGAACATCTGCTCCTTTTTTGAAACTTTCCCTGATGGCCACTTATCCCTTCCACGGGAAAGGAAGAAGAGATATATAGATTATTTACTCAAGCAAAAGTGGCAATACCACAGAGTAAAAATATGTAATACTTTATTCTTTTCAAATGTTGCTTTGTTGACCAGTTTTTGTTCTCTGCTTTAAAAACCACCGCAATGACATTTCTGTCAATAAGTCCATCACAAGGCTAAAACCTTTTGTTCAGTATATTCAATGTTTTGAATTCCTTTCCAGTGGGAGGCGTTACCAGTAAGATTAATTTATGGTTGCTGATGCCTTGGAGATCCAAATAGTATTTTATAATCCATTTAAGACTAATTCCTTCCTGTTTTAATCCTCGTGAATTGAAGTGGAACACACCTCTTCCCGGGGCCAGACTATCAGTTACTCACAGTTTAAGGAGGGACTTAGAAAGGCTTTTAAAGGTGTTCTTTGGCAGCTCCTTTATCCTGTTGCTGGACAGATTCCTAAACACGTTAAAGGAGAAAATGAAAACAGACAAAAGCAAAATGAAATCATCAAAACAGTTGTATTTGCTTTGCAGAGATTTATCTCAAATACTGATCGACAAGATAAAATCCCTTGAAATGCTCCTGCCTTGTCCATTTCCTTTTTATGTAGTCTCTTCTTGTACGGCTACTGATTATGTTCACTACAGATTTGTTTTATTATATTTCATTATTTCAGTCTGAATGAGAGTACAGCTCAGGCTGCAATCTTCTGTGTAAGCCTGAGAGAAAACTAACCGAGCTTAACTGTTTTTCTTTGTTTTCCCCCAACCAGCCCAGAGTGTGTATCATTTCAAAGAAGTTGATGATAAATAACAAATACAAATTTACAGTAGTGTCCACAATATAGCTAAATGCTTTTCTATGTGAGTTATAACAAAACCTTCTTCTTGTTACTATGTGGTTAATGTTGGATCCATCAAGAAACCAACATAACCTTAATTTAACAGAATGCTAGAATATAACCTACATAGTTCACTGATCCAGATTTAATGTGGTGTCATGGTGTCGAGTTCTGTCCGTCAGTTGTGTGTGGAAATCTTTTTATTTCAGACCCTGCCGCCCCCACCTATCTGGTTTTTCCCGCCAGTGGAATCACCTCATCTGTTCCCATTCTTTCATCAACTCTCGTCCGTTTCCACTCGCTCTCTGTCAGATTGTCTCTGTGCCATGTGCCTTTGTTTTTCCAGCGCTCTGCTCTTTTCCTGTCTCTTTTGATCCTTATCATGTTACTTGACCTTGCCTGTGGTTTTTTGTTTAGAATTTGCTTCAGCTGGATTCTTGTTCTCCGTTTTCTTGCTTGGATTATTGTATCCTTGTTTTTTTTCCTATTCTAAGAAAAGTCTCTTTACTTTTTTATTTGCCTTCTGAGTTGGGCTCTTGGGCCCTTTTTTTCCCTGAGACTCTGACAATGTGGTTTCACATTAACCACTGAAGATAACCATAAACAGTAGTTCCCATAGTTTGATCAGTCTGTTTTATATATATAAATAGCTGAAAATAACAGAACAGAAAGAGACATATACAACTTGTGCATCACTCACAGCTCAGCCAGTTTCCACAGGGACTGGAAGGTGTTTTCAGGAACTCTTCGTATCCTGTTTTCCATCAGTAATCTGCACAGGATAGAGCTGCTGTCAGAAACCACGGCACAAAGTGATGTGTTCAGCCCCCTGTGGTGGATCCCTGCAGGGACTGGATACACTCTTATTTGTGGCACCATCTAAACATATGGCTGCCCATTTCCAGAATGCTCAGTCCATCAACATTCATCCAAATGCAGACACAAAAGCTCTGCCTGAAGAAAAGAAGGAGTTTCCACGTTGCATATAAAATATTTTTTGGCGTTCTCGTGCCCACACTTATTCATATATTCACATTTAATTGCTGCCTAGAACTACAGAGAAACACTGGAGCATATGGCAGCAACTGTCTTGTTACAGAATATTAGAACCGTTTTAATGAAGGAAAACCAAACTTTGTTCTTTCACGTCATCCCTCAGGGTCAAACTGTCGACTCTTCTGTCACAATCCCGTTTACACACACGCCGCACACAACTTTTCATTTCGCTCTCTATTTCATTGTGATCACAATTATCTTGTCAAGTTTTAACATGGTCGATCAGAAATGTCTTGAATACAAACACACACCAAATTGAAAAAGGGTTTATACAGTACAGCACTTTTCTAGTGTCACTTCTCAATGTGCTTTATATAATCACATTCACACACAAATGTATACAGCACTTCTATATGCAGAGCTTAAGTACCACACATCATTCACACACTTATGGCATAGTCCACATGCAGACTGGAGGAGCCAGAGATCGAACCAACTTATCTGATTAGTGTCCTTAACCTATCCTCAACGGTGGCCTAACCCTAACCTGACTAAATTCACATCTGACCTCTAACCAGGACCTGAGAATGGATGTTTTGCCTCATTAGGACCGGATTTTAGTCCCCATGAGACAATGTCAGTGTTTAAGTTGGGAAATGTCCAAAAAAGGTTACAAGTAACCACACACATGCACAATTTTCCCCACTGAAAAGTTATTTTTTTTTTCTACAGCGGCAGCAGTTGGGGTTTTGCTGCATGTCTTCTTAATTGTCTCTCCCCCTTTCAAGATACATCCCGTCCCATCTGCAAATGGCCAAAAATATCTTTAAAATAAATCTATTTCTCTGTTCGCAGCCATGAAAACAAATGGAACAGCATGAAGAGTACGGGAGATGCCGTTACGGTTTTGGAAGGTTTTGGAAGTAGGTTGCACGTTATCTGCTGCTGTGACAGCATACCTTTAAAAAGATCTGTCTGTCACCAGCACTTGTGTTTGGCAGTCTGGGCTTTGAGGCTGAGACTGTGGCCTCTTTGTTGCGGTGTCTGTCAGACAACAAGCATAGGAAGTCTAAAAGTTCATCCATTTGTTCAGTGTAACTTTATCAACAGGTACAGGTCTGGTCTAGATTCACTGACGACTATAATAATAATAATTCTGACTTTTTCTTTGATGATCAATGGTTCAAGTTAAATTCAGGTTTATTTTCCTGTTTGAGGACATTTAAAAGATAAAGTCACTCATGCATCTCCTTGGAAAAAACTTAGATTTATACCCCCCTTAATCTGGATTTTTGGAGAAACTATATCTGGTCGGCATTTTAGTGCAACAATCTGTGCAACTGTCCTCTACCTTTGAATATGATGATGCTAATATCTACAAATACATCTCAGCTAACTTCCTCTGAGCATCGTCACTGCCTGAGCTGTGCAGGGACCCTGCTGCTGAGAGGGCCTGCTGTTTGGTTTGCTAAACTTATCACAGCAGGACTATAAGGGTGTGTGTGTGTGTGTGTGAACTTTCAGGTTCAGCTGGACAGTCTTGAATATTGATAATCCAGTTGTTAGTAAAGCAGGAAATAGGCTGACCAGACTCTGCATGATGATGGAAAATAATAAAAGACAAAGTTGATTATTTTTATCTCCATGTTAAAGATGAAGCAGAACAGGAACATTAAAACCAGATTGTGTTTATGAACCGCTGAGGCTTTAAGGCTCCAGAGATACAGCAGAAGTTTCCCGGCAGTGATGTAACGCTTGACTTTTATTTCTATTTACATACACTGACAATTGAAAATTTGAATTAGCGTGGCTCCAACTTTGTGTTTACACAGAAGAGTCATTGTTCTAAACATGCAATGGTTTTAACACTGAAGAGGCTGAAAAGTTGAATGCCAACCTTTAATTACTTCACAAATAAATTAACTATATGTGAATGGGAAATTGAAATAAAGCACTTGAGGAGGGTAAAGACATTATGGTATGAATGACAGCAGAGACACAACCACTCAGTAACTGACGGATGTTGTGTGGAGGTCCAACATCCCACACTCATTCCTCCCAGCGGACAGAAAAGAGACTCATTCAAATTCTGTTTTCCAAAAACTGCGTTTGACGCTGTTTGGCTTTTTAAATGTTGTGAAGTCAGATACTCACAGAACCTCGAGCTTGCTGCAGGTCTTCAAGATGGAGAAGTTGAGAGTTTGAATCTGGTTTCCCTCAAGATCCCTTGAAGCAAAAAAGCTGAGATAAGGAACTTTGTGTGAACACTGGACAAGATCGAAACACTGGCTGTTCATCTGTTGTTCTGTTTGAGTTCAATTGATTTTGTCAAAATTAACTTTTTCCTCTAATATCTTTCTTCCAAATTACAACTGGATTTTTATTTGCATCTACACTAAATTGCACACACTCATTGATAACATTCCCCTAAATATGAATATGAATATGCTTCATTTTGCAATGTCAAAGAAAGTGATAAAAAGTACGGTGATAAAATACAGTATGTGATTTATCTGGAGTTTGTGTTTGAGGGTAATAAAAATGAAATTACAGTGGGGGAAGGGGAAATAGTGACAGCCATTGTTTTCTTTGAAATTTAAATAAGTTGGTATGAGTGCTGACTGGCAGCACGTTGCTAACACAAAGACATAAAAGCTAAAGATAGCATGAGGTCATTACAATTTCATACTCATCTGGCTGGTGCTCTCCAAGCTAAACTCAGACCCAAAATAGACGATCGTGTTGACCGACCGTGGTGACATGTGCTGAGGGGAAGTTCAGCTCTCATGTAGTCTGGAGGACCACTCGTCTCAGCCTCATATCATAAACTATGCAACCCCTCGTCACCTCTATCTACCAGTCCTCTTTTGTTTTTATGGACGCACAAAAGCACAAACACATACACATCCGTCCGACTGGCAAATTCTGTAGACAGTTACTGAATCACACACATGCACTACACACCTGCACACACACAAGTACACTGTCAGAGCAGACTCACAGCCAGTCCAAGGCAGGCATGTGTTCGCAGAAGCTGGGGTGAGGAAGCTGCTGCAGTGAGGCGTCCACCATGGATCTGACAAGCGAGGGGAAAATAACTTTATCACAAAAACAGAAATTGAACTTCTGACAGCAGGAGTTTCAGTAACAGAGCAGAGCACTTCCAGCTTTTATACCTGGAAACAAGATACGTGTTTTTTTTTTAAATGAGCGAAACAACTGCTGCATGGGAATAAATTAACATATGGAAGTTACTGGTACAGAAAGGTGTTGATTAATCTGTTAGACAAAAAGGAAATTAGGAATCAGTGTGCACATTTGTCACAATGATGTCTATTTTACAAAATAAAAAAATTAACGATTACATTTAATCATTGACTTGAAGGGACTGTTTGTCTTATTACATACCACAGAATTCCAAATATGGTCACACCTGCCAAACAGGCAGAGAGAGTAGAAGCACATTAACATGTCTCTTATCTCTTATTCATGCATAAACATTGAAAGGACATTATTGAAATGGATACCTGCTGTGGAACAAAACCTGGCAGAACAATATCTTACTGTTGTACAAAGAACAATATCGAGCTGATCTGAGGCCAGAGCAGAGGATGGCTAGAGATAAACAAGTACTTGACAGGTACAGATAGAGGAAGAGAAACGTGACGTAGTTTGAAAGGATGGAGACTGAACTTTGAAGAAATATCTGAGAGAACAAAATGTCAATAACAGCCACTAACGTGCAATATAATGTCCATCAGACACTGCTTAAAGACTCACTGTCTGTTATTTATCTATTCAATGTAAATCATTTTAATTGTAATTCACATTTCTCTGTAAAGCATTAAGGTCAACACTTCTCAATTTTAAAGATGCTCTATAAATACATTTGACTTTTGATTTACTGGCTTGTGAAATAAATAAAACTACCACGATCCCCATTATAACACAGAGACATGACTGAGCATGAAACAAGGTGTGAAACAGATTATTAACAGAGGAAGAAATGATAAAACTCACAGATACACAAGAGACTTGAGCCCAATGAACGTGTCCTGGGACAAACTTGTTAGTGGGTTATGATCCAAGATCCTGGAACACATGAAAAAAAAGAAATATATTAAATTAAGTTACGCAGCAAACTGAAACTATTATTTATGTATTTTGTGCCACTCTTCTGTCTGTATTTCCAGTATGAGGCTAAAACAGACAGTACATGTTTGATGTTCAGAGGTTACCCAAGTAAACATGAGTTTTCTCGAACTGAAACACATTTAGATCGGTTTTACCCTGAAGATCCAGAAATGCATGGCACAGCATGGTTTTTGATGGAATGTAGTGTAAGTATATATATATATAAGTTTATTTAAATCATCGGCCAAACCAAACGATTTAAATGCAAACACAAAATTTCAAAGCTTGAATGAAAAGGAGCAGAAAGTAGAACATACGTATATAATCTGCGCCTCTTTCACAAGACATGAATTAACAAAGCGAATCATTCAATAAAATTAAAAATTAAAACAGCTGTAGGCCAACACAGCCCCTCACTTCCCTCTATTAGTTCCTTCCATCATTTTGATTCTGAATCTCTTTCAAAGAATTTATTTTTCAAAGATCTCATTTTCTGGATGTTGTTAGGCAAAGTTTTCTTATGAGCTTTACACATAATGAAATGAGTGCTTTCTGCTAGATTCTACTTCCACTATCCTCACTAGATCTTTGGCGGCCTCAGAAAAACCATGCAGACATTTCTCAGTTATACTACATTGTACCATTTGCTTTACTGTTTGGCAGCTGGTTGGCATATTTGAGTTTTCCCCGAAGATTCAAGGAGGCCAGTTGATGGTTTATTCCTTCAACTGTCAGAAAGACCCGATGCTGGCAACAGAAAACTAAGCCCACAGGCCAAAATACAAAGGGCACAGTAATAAACTCTGAGCTCATAGCAAAATAATCCACTTCCCTTAAGCTCTTAATCTCAATAGATGAACAGAAAAGTATTTAAAGTTTCAAAGTGCACTTGACTCAAATGTGATTCTGTGGAGAAAATAGGGCTTAATCCACTCAGCTGTACATATTTAAGATTCCTTATAGGGACACAAACAAAAGGATGTCTACAAGAATATCCATGAACGCATGAGACGTGCATTAATATTTCAAACTTTAGAAATACCACCAACACAACACAGAGTGTGTGTGTGTGTGTGTATGTGTGTGTGTGTGTGTGTGTGTGAGTGAGTTACTCACAGCCACTCTAACTGGTGGAGGTCCTTGAACACACCAGGACTGAGAGAGGATATCAAGTTCTCGCTGAGAAACCTGATCGATGCAGTGGACAAAAACATACCTACAGTCATTATGTTGTAAAGTGACATATGAAACAGAGAAGACCTGAAGCAAATAGTTTCATTAACAATCAGCTCATGATTGCAGCTAGTTTAATAAAACATTTGGGTAATAAGTTGAGCAATCATAGTGAAAACAATAACTAAAAATGCATAGTTGCTGCCTCTCAAAGGAAGGATTTCACATACAGTTTTCATTTGACACATTCTGAAGTGTCATCTTAGACTGGGAGAAGTTGTGAGGTTGACTTTTTGATGATTAACTGTCTAAAACAATAACAAGGAAATCAGTTCAGACACCTCAGAGTTCCTCCCTCTGGCTGAAAACCTGTCTCAACCGCGTTCTTGACATTTTCAGGATAAAGTGACTGCAGTTCATTTAAACTCTGTAAAGGCTTACTGATCTCATTCCTTCCACTTTTGTCCTCAACAGCATGTGCTGTTTAAAATACAAATCATCACAGTCAAAACATTAAAAGTGGAGAGCATCTGCAAACATTGTCAGATCACAGTATAATTTCGATCTGTATGAAACAAGAAG